TTTGGCATGGAAACAGAAAGAGGAAGTCAAGGGGCTTCTGGTTGGTTCACCTAGTTAAGTGCCTGACTCTTGATTTCAGCTCAGTCAGGATCTAATGGGTCATGGGCTGCGCAGTGACTGAGTTGAGCCTGCCAGGCATTCTCTCTCTCCCTCTCTCTGTGTCCCTCTCCAGTTTATGTACTCTGTCTCACTCTATTTTTCAAATAAATAAATAAATAAATAAATAAATAAATAAATAAATAAAATTTTAACCAAAAAGAATGAGGAAGTCAAATAGAAGTTTCTAAGAGTGACTTTCCCCCTCGAGAATATGCAGAAACAAAACAAGGCAAGAAGGCCACTTTGCCTAGTTCCATGTCTTTCTGCCTAACATTCGATCATCAGAGGACACGAGTTTGGGCTACAAGTGTCTTCTTGCCATTGTGGGGAGACATGCTTGCCACACCAAATGGGAAACAAAACAAAGACAAACAATTCTGGGACATGCTTGACTGCTTAGAAGCAACACTCAGCATAAGGATAGCCTGTTTCTGGTATTCAGTCTTAAGTATTAGAAGTTCCTCCATTTTACATCAGTTTGAGTTGACCATACTGGGCCCTAAATTATCCCTAATCATACAGAGGTATTTTCACTTAATTTTTCTTGCAATGCTTAATCATCCAGAATGTAGATAAGATTAAACTTTCCCAAGAGGTACAACCAAGAGTGATGCACATAACATTTCCAATGTGATTAGAATGAATAGTGCAGATAATAGATTTGAAAATCCATGAAATGAGGCCAACAACCTGACTCAAAGTAATGAAACACATTCACACTAACACACATAAGCAGATATTTCATCACACACACACAAATTCTGAAAAGAAATCTCCAGGAATAGTTTTAAATGAAAACCTGGTAAAGAAAGTACAGAAATGATACAGGAAAAATGTCTCCTGGTACACAATCTGAGCTCTCAAATTTGATATCATCCTTGGGTGTCCTAGGCATGAACAATCAATTCACTTGGCAAGGCTGGCTTACACCTTCAATGTAGTCACTCATGTCATGTTCCTCACCTTCCTCATCTCCTCGTACATCATGAAATGAATGTTGAAGAGGCTTTTGTGCTCATACCAACCTTTGATGTGGTCAAACCAAAGGCTTCCTATTACTGTGGGAAGAACAGACACATCATTTGGTAAAATTGTTGAACACATTGAAAAGAAGCTACAGTCTTAGGAGATACAGGAACCTTTAGTAAAAAAGGAATAGGAAGTGAGCTGCTAGATTCCAGATTTCTCCTACCACCTGATATGGGAGAATCATCCAGATTCCACCAGGAAACAATTACATGAATGCAAGGAGATATTAGTGTCTTAAAATGTGTCTCAAATAGACACAGAATCAAATTACCGTGTGCTTTGGAAAACCAAAAGGAAAATGGAGGCAAGAATCATGTCCTTCTGGCTTCTCCTGGCCTTCCCAAACACATAGAGCTATTTTCTGGCTGCATGGAACATGTGGGTTCTCTGAAGACTCACTTCAGCTCAGGACAATGCATTTGATGTTAAACTTAGCTTTCTTACTCCAGATCATTGTCTCTGTTTCAGCAGGCCTGGCTCTTGCTCTACCAGCTACAGTGGTTTCTTGGGTGAGAATGTGGGTGTGGCCTGGTTAGCTCAGTTCATAGAGTATACAACCCTTGATCTCAGGGTTGTGAATCGGAGCCCCATGCTGGGTGTATAGATTACTTTAAAAAATAAAAATGAAAAAAAAATAATGAAAAAAGAAGGAGAGACAGAGAGAGAGAGAGAGAGAGAAACGAATGTGGACTACAACTTTATCAAATAGAAGCTCCTGGGAGGAGCCACTTGCAATATGCAGGGCAAAGCTCCAAACCTGTGATCTGAACTGAGATGCTTCTCACTGAGCTAGAACAAAAACCCCATTTTTTATGAAATATTCTTTTCATGATTAAATGTAAACATTCCTTGTTGATATGACTTTGTAATCTTGACAGTCTCCTGAGAGGAAGCCCATGGAAAGATAATCTGTAACAATGGCAGGACATGGCCATCTAGGACAACCCTACCATTGGCTTAATATATTCATTACTCACCTGCATTCAACTCTACTTCAGTTTCTTTTTTCCCTCTCCCAAACTCACTAAGTTTAAACCTTACCACACCAAAGCTATTACTTATTTTATAAAACTTTAGTTACCTTTTCCTTCTAGAAATTGTTCAAAAAATTCCTCAAAGGAACCTGTAAGTTGTAAGGTCACATTCTTGAAAAAGTAATAATATGAGCACATAACATCCTTAGGGTTTCTGTATACATAAATAATCTGCAAAGAAAGGAAGTATTCATTATTTGTGTTGCTTTCATTGTGTCATATTTTAACTTAATACCTTCCACTTGGATGAAGCCTATTTTTTTAACTTTTTAGTTTCCTAACCATGTCATGTATACATTCAGCCTTCTTTGTATTTGGGGTTTCCCCTTCTCTGCAGTGCCTCTTCCTCTATGATTGGCCTAGTAACTATCAATTACTCCTCAAAACACACCCCTATGCAGGTACCCAACCAAAATAAGTGGGAGTATGAAAAGGAAGCCATGAGGACTCTCAGAGAAAGGAAGGTATAGCTAGGATTATAAATATACCCACAAATGTCGCTAATTTTATAAAATGAAAGGATATATAAAATAAATTGTGTATTATAATTCACATTAGAAAGTGAATTAAATATACACATATATACCCTTTTGTTTGTAATGGCTATATTCCATATGTGATCAGAAAAAAAAGGTACAAGATAAAAATCCAATACTCTGAGGATACAATGGCTACTGAAAATCAAAGTATGTCAGATGCCACATTTGCTAACAGTTGGATGACTGCAGAGTGAACATAATGAAAAGAAATGACATAATGAAAAAGAGCAGTTATCTTTCAAGAGCCATAGTCCATTTCCTACTTTTGGTTTTTTGTTCTTCGCCCCACTTGGAAACAAGTAATATGGGAGGTGGGTACTAAAGAGACGAGGAGATGGTTTTTCAGCAAAATCTATTTTTTTACTGTGGTACTCGAAGAAGGGGACTTGATCAACTGTATTCAGATTCCCAGTCCTTTTGCGATGTTCTTCAAAATAAATCAAGCTTAATATCTGCTGAAACCAGATGGTCCCTGTAAAATAAATAATTCTGTTTTCAATGGTCCACAAATTTGTCCCAAAT